TGTTTGTTAAAAAAAGGGAAAATAAATCTTCATCAAAACAGATCAATTACAAGCCCTGTTTGTGTGTTTGTTTAAAAAGCATTTATCTGCCAGGTGCTTCACTATATCTTGAGGTACTGAAGTGATATTTATCTTTTTTGTACAAAAGGGCTTTCCAAGTTAAATATGAATTGGATTATTTTTGGCACCAGCACTTGGAACTCCTTTCCCAGCTCATATTGTTCCTGTGCATGATTTCCGGAGCCAAAACAATATGGCTGCATCCGTTAAAGAGGTACTGTTCAGCCTCATTAATTAAGACTATAATTAGAATTTGGACTCCGTTCCTCTTAATCTATTAGGGAGGCGAAGCTTTGATTCTGAAATCCATTAGTCTTTCCTCATTCATGCATACTTTGGCCCTTTGAAGACACCGTGTTGCTCAAGGTAATGACGACTTATAAATGGTTAGGACTTATCTGGTGCTTTTTATCAAATCAGCCTTGCTCTGAAAAGAAACAAATGATTTGTTTTGTAAAAGCGGGTCATTATGTAACCACACTCCCATAGGATCATACATTACTCAGAGATGAGAGAGAGACTTATTTTATGAGGGTAAGCGGTATTGTTTGAGACAGCGACGTAATAAGGCATTACTCTTCAGTATTGTGCGTTCATTTAGACCGGGTTCAATTTGCTGGGTATGAGAGGATTCAATGAGGGGCTTTTTAAGAACGAGAGAGGGGTGGGCATGCTGGTTGCAGCTCCGAATCAGAGCAGCTTATGTCTCAGTAGGGCCTCAGTTACACATTCCGCCTTTTTGAGAACAGGCGCCTTTTTCAGAAATTGGGAGCATTTCAACTTAATGATATCATCCTCCCTCCTTTTGATCGTTATCAGAGTAATGCGCTGCCGCTGTGCTTTTTTACAGTAATTACAAGATATTTGCCTCCCTCTCACTTCAGATTCACACACTGATTGGCACTTTGTAATAGAAGTAAGTCTTTGCAAATGTATACATTCCAATTATATTATAATTTTTAATATGTCAAAATAGTCCCTTTATTAATCAGGGGTGGCCACAGTAGAATGAATCACCAACTTATCCAGCATGTTTTACACAGCAGATGCCCTTCCATTTGCAACCCATCACTGGGAAACACCCATACACTCTAGTTGACTCACAATACACTACGGACAATTTAGCTGGAGGAAACTCACGAGAACACGTGGAGAACATGCAAACTCCACACATAAAATCCAAATAACTCAGCCGAGGCTCGAACCAACAACCTTCTTGTTGTGAGGCAGTTATGCTACCCACAGCTCCATCCGTGTCGCCCCAGTACAAATTTGATTAAAAAAATAAAAATAAACCACACTATAAGCCTCATATTGTATGTGCATAAACAAAATATGATGTGCATTCAACTTAAGCATATAAACAGGCCAGTATTGAAAGTGGAGGTTGGCATGGTATATTAAGTAAAATACATAATGATAATAAAAGAAAAAAGAAAATCAAAAAATAAAAGAGAAAAAGGGGAAAATATATTAAACTGAATAGCCTGGCTAGTGGCATGTTCCTCAAACTTGGTTTTATGTCAAGAAAGATTTAAATGCTTGAGCTATATCAGAACTAGTACTCATCTGGAAGGTACAGACTAATAGTGCAAGATGGGCAACCATTCATTCTACAGTAACTGCTTCAACTTTCAGAGATTTAACATGCTCCAGAAATGGCAACCAAGTATTAGAACATTTGATCACTAAACTGAAGACAACATTAAAATTTATTCTTACTTTTTTTTTTTTTTTTTTAAGGCGTCTTTAATCCATTGAAGATGGGGGTTTAGGAGACTTTCACTGCAACAAAATACACAGCCTAGCTAATAATGACAGAAAGGCTATTAATTCAGAAAAAAATAAAATGGCAACTCACAGTCAGGGTATACTTCCACTTTTGATAAATTAGTCCTCATTTTCTGTGATGCTTTGGATAAAAGCATCTGCAAAATGAATAAATGTTAATGTTCTACTTGGCAAGTTTCATGAAATGTGTTTATTGTTCTTAGACAATTTGTCATGCTCAAGTTTTTAATTACAACCCACAAAAATGTGCTTTTGTTTGTCGATCCAATTTAGATGGGTGATATTCATTGAGTTTTGTTAAGCACACAAAACTGATGCAAATTTAGCTTCAACTATCAATCTAGATTCTTGTAAATCAACTGAGACGTAACCTGGTGAATAGCGTACTTCCATCAACATGCTGTGTGCTAGCATCATTACTTTATATGTCACTTTGATCAATTCTTTCAACTGTATTTCATTCCATAAAAATATATTTTATAAAAAGTTGAACTGTGAGCATTTCCAGTCTTTTTTCTTATTTTCAAATGGATGTTTTTGTAATTATTAATAATTAATAAGATGTTACAGGCCATACAAATACAGTATTTTTTTTGCAAAATGTGCTCTATATAGCCAAAAAAATCACAGTTTCTTGTTTACAATTGATGTAAATCTCTCTCTCTCTCTCTCTCTCTCTCTCTCTCTCTCTCTCTCTCTCTCTCTCTCTCTCTCTCTCTCTCTCTCTCTTTCTCTCTCTCTCAATAGCCTAAAAATAACTCATATTCTATTAAAATGCCAGTCCGGTATTCTGTTACAGTATCTTACTTTAACTTTTAATCTGTGGAATTATTTCCCACAACTATGTAAGATACAGGAACCGATTTCACATTAGCTATGTTTCCATTCAAAGAGACAAATTAAATGTAATTTAACTGGAATATTGCAAGATGTGCGAATAAAGCAGCGTTTTCATCCAAGAAGTCAAAGAGAACAAAATCGTCACTTGCTGATTAACTGCCGATGAACGCAATGAATGTGTGGTGGTGTTTGAAGGCATCAGATGTGGAGCACAGACACTCTTGACAATTCTGCGGGTAATTAATAATATAATAACACTAATACTGGCATTTTAAAATGACCAAAACAATATTTCAGATGTTTTGCAGTGCGGTCAACCTGCTGGTTTGTTCATTCACACACATTTTTATCATCACATGATCTCTTATAACAAATTCACAAAACTTTTTAATGCGCATACTGGAATTTGTTCTCTAAATGTGTTTCCATTGTAGATAATGTGCATCTTTTGTTATCGAAAAAAAAAAAAAGTTTATTCTACTCAGTTATGCATATATTCCTGCAGGCACAGGACATCAACATGACATCATATTGACGTTGTACACCAACATACCCCAACGTCAGATTTTGTTTGGAAATGAAAATCAGGTTGACGTCAGATCCCAACATCAGGTCGACGTAAATGTCCAATGTCCAACCTAAAGTCAAACTGAAATCAACCTAATGTTAATTTCTAATCATGTTGTGTTTATGTTACTTTGACATCTATCAAACATTGGATTTAGGTCACTTTGCAACACAACCTAAAATCAATCGAATATCAACGTAATTTGATGTCATTATTGTACGTCAAAATAATGTTGTCCTTAGACGTAAACTAAACATAGAATTTTGGTCACCTGACATCTTGACCTAAATCTAACCTAATATTAGCGTCTTATTATGTTGTGTGCCTGCTGGGATGTTTTTTTTTTTTTTTATGGGCATTTTAGAAATGTACATCTTGGCGTTTTTAAAATGCACATGAAATAGGTGGATAGAAAGGTAGCTATTGTCTTCTTTTTGTGAACAGTTTTTCTTTTTTTTACTTTTTGAAGTGTCCCTCTCAGAAGAGACACAGTAAATCTGCCTCTCTGCTGATGGCCTTCTCTCTCTTTTTTTCTGTCCCAACCGAAAGCCCCCACAGGAAATGAGCATTGGGTGGGGGGCAGAAAAAGCACCATGACTAACATTTAATCGAGCTTCTGTTATGGAGAAAAACACACGGAAATGAGATCGCACTTTATGCACAGTTCCAAGCAAATGGAAATGAAATGGACCTTTTCTCCAAAGCAAAAGACATTGCACTTGTTTGCCTTGTGGTTGTTGTTTAGTTGCTCAGCATTTTTTCAAAACGTCCAGAGAAAACATTCAAATGGAGACCTTAGGGGTGATTGTGCTTTTGGGTTTGAACGCCGGCCAATTGTAATTCCTGTGTTTGTCTTCGGAGGTTACACATTGTGCGGGTAAATGACCCATGATTGTTAGAGAATATTTCAGATGGTTGTGTGAAGGAACTTGCTAACAATGTGGGCCAGCAGATGGTAGAAAGACATCTTTGTAAAGCTATGACGTTCACATGAAACCAGAAACCCACCATATATATATAGTATACGGGTGCGAGGTCAGTCAGGTGCAGACTTGATGAATTAGCCTGTTCGTTCTCGTGTGATGACATAGTTCACGCACAAACCTTTCACTATTTGTTGTTGATGTTCTGCAGACTGACGTTCGGTGACTTCGTTTTCCTCTCATTGTGCTTTTTTGGGGGGTCACTGGAGCATGTGCTAACATTTAACATGCAGATTTTGCTGTAAAAAGTTCCAAATAAAAGTAGCTGTAGTTGATTTTAAAACTAGGGATGGTAAAGTTCAGCGGATGTAAACCTACCGTTGACACCCCACCAAAGTTTTTAGATTTCTTCTCCAAAATGGCACTTTAATTGCCTTTGATAGCTGTGAATGGCTGCACTCAGTTGTAATGACTTTAGCCATTCCTTCTTAAAGAGCTCAAGTCACACTACATTTGTTAAACTGAATTGCTTTCCTCATCCTGGGACACACAAAGACAGCTTTGACGCCATTGTACGCCAACCCAACCAAAGGCTCATCAATTTCAAAATTTATGTTTTATTTTCGTAAATGTGCGGGATAATTACTAGAGTCTTATTACAACTTTCCCAGAGGGTTGGGAACACTTAACGTTGCGTGCTATGAGATGCCACGTCTGCAGCTGGGAAATGGCATGTCGTCCGATCAACTGATGGCTGTTGGGGATTGGTCGATTAGAGCACAATCCCTTGATGCTTTCCGCCCTTATGTGTGTCTCAGCAGGAAACGGCTTCGTTAACCCGAGGGGCTCGCCGGGGCTTCTGGGTACACCCAGCGGGAACGGACTTGGTAAAGTCATGCCTGCGAAGTCACCGCCACCACCGGGAGGCAACATGGGCATCGGCAGCCGCAAGCCAGACTTGAGAGTCGTCATCCCCCCATCCAGCAAGGGCATGATGCCACCCCTGGTGAGTCAGAATAAATTGATTCTGCATGCGCACATCCACTAAACTGCTGTTCCAAATCAATGTTTGGGATCTGCACAAGCAAGAGTTTGAGTGTGGTCTTAACAGGAGTAGTTCACTCAAAAATCAACATTTACTCACCATTTATTAGAACAATAATACACTTTATTTTACATAACACCTTAAAAAGTAGCATTTTGGAGTGCTTTACATATAAAAAGTATAGATACAAACATGCATCAAACTAGACAAAAACAAATCCAAGATAGTAAAAAGCTAAGAAATATTTAAAATCACATAAAAAAGCTCTAAAAAGTACTATTGCTAGTATTAATATATTTACTAACCCTTGAGGGGTTCCATTTTGAACAGAATAGAAGATCATTTGATGAATGCCGAAATCATTATTTATATATATATATATATATATATATATATATATATATATATATATATATAATAAGTCTGCACTCTCTCAAAATTCAAAAATACACAAGAGAAATGAAAATAGATAAAGAAGAGAAAGGATTTCAGTCATATGTTGACCATTTTCAATGCCAAGCTAACCATGGTAACAATGGTCAACAACTTTTGCTGTTTTTTTATTACGAGTAACTTTCTTGTTACTTCATCTCATGTCTTTTTGATGGAGTGTGCAAATACTTTGTATTTTTTTTTGTCCACTCACCTATTGGTTTGTTTTGAGCAACACAGGCTCATTCTGAAAACTTCCCCCTATATACATTTTTGGAGATCACAAAATATGTAGTCAGAAGCACGTCTGGCTGCATTTCGCCTTTAAATCGAACGCTATGGGGCAGTATGACACTATGCCTTTTCACACATACCAGATGACCACTTACCTCAGTATGATCGACTTTTACACTGTTGACAGTTTGCCAAGTGTGTCGGCGGACTTGAAACACAGAGAGGAGTTGCCCACAACAATGGGGTTTGTGTCCGGTAAAAAACGGTTCCAGAAAATCCAGAAACGACAAAAACAGAAGTCAAAAAATAAAATAAACAATAAAATAACGGTGATAACGTGGTAACATTTGAAAAAGTGGTAAAAATCAGGCTTTTCTGTTTCTGGATTGCTTTTTAAAACACTGTCGGTTCGGTTTAGGGAAGTGGGTGGTTTTGGTCAAACGGTGCTTTTTAAAACACTGTTGGTTGGGTTTAGGCAAGTGCGTAGATTTGCTCTTGATATTGATGGGGACGTACGACCCCCAGAGCACATGTATAAACAGCACAAATTCTGTTTCATGCTTTTCAAAACATAAATAAACGTTTTAAACACTTAATAACACAAGTAACAATTAATGAAGCATGTTCTATGCTGCAAAAGTCAATTTAGCTTTGACGAGGTATAAAATTTACAGAAATTTAGAGAGGCATGTGACACAATTTAACCGTTATATCCCTATTATCTATTATTTATGTCTATGGATTTAACCCTTTGAGCACATCTAGGTTACAAAGGGTTGACAGCAATATTTTACTTTGAAGGCAATTGTATTATTGGTGGGGACATGTCCCCTTTGCCATGCCAATTCTATGCCCTTGGGTTTAGGGAAGAGGAGGGTGGGTCAGTCAATCGGTCAGTAAGTCAACAGCAGCCTCTGGTGGATGTACGTGAGAATAGCAGGTGCGAATGGCACTCGCAAGATAAATTTGAGGTCTGAAAAAATGTGTACATAGCAGCCTATGGTGAATTTGTGAAAGGAAAAACTGTAAAAAAAAAAAAAAAAAAAACGTGCTACTGGGATGTATTTAGCGCTCTCAAGAAATGTACATAGCGGTACGTTTCGAACGAGCTTGGGTTGGTTTTGAAGGCGCTCTGAGTCTTTTGTTAATTTTTTTCTTTCAGTATTCTTCAAAATATCTTAAAGAAAAGAAACACAAACAGGTTTACAACAGGTTGAGGGTGAGAACATGGCAGAATTGTCATATTTGGATGCACTACCCCTTTAAATGAGTGAAATAACAGTGTCAGTTACACAAGAGCGAAATATCCGAGATCCAGGTAACCTCACTCCTTCTATTATTCATCTAGAAATTAGAGGGCCTCTCAAATGATTATAATTAAGGAGCAAAGAGCTCTGGCCACATTCAGCACCTGAGGCTACACCCGGCTGTCAGCCTCATTAATCACTAAACTATAAAATGAGAAGCGCAAAAAAAGATTATTATTATTATATTTAAATACAGTCAATAATTTGCAGAAGCAACTCGGGTTTCTTTCACAGAACTGTGTTCGCGAAATAGCATTGGGGTTTCTTAGCTTAGCGTAAATATACATATGTATGCGAGTGTAGGGAAAAGCATGCCAGCATCTGGAAGCAGTACAGTTGGTTATCCACCACGAATCAAAACAAATCTTACACGCCAAGCTCGTGGCATCTGAAGTCATCAGTAGTAAGAAGCCCAGAGGATTATTCATTTGGGCATATCTGCGTACTGTACTGTATATGGCGAATGTCCTTTTTCTGCGTGTGTGTGTGTATGAATGAACTGCCACAGACAGAGACTAAGGCAGGGCCTGTGAGTGTGCCTGCAGACAGGCTGTCATTAGAACATAATGGTATTAAATTAATCACATCGCAGTGTGACAGAGTGGGGATGAAGGCTTAATCAGAAGCCCAGAGTGTGAGCCAGATAATATCTTGTCGCCCTTGTCGTGTCTCCCCACTGTTATTGATTGAGTGCTGGTATTAAGACAGCACTGGCTCCGCACCACTGAGAAGAAAGCTCAGAGTCCTCAATACTGTACAACTTCGCACTGTCAGCTGAACAAAGGGATGTATGCAAATGATGAGAATTAACACTTTTTTTTAGATTCTTGAAACTGAAAAAATATAAAAGCTGTGGATTTCAAAGTTGATTTGCATATTGAAACCACTAACAACTTGCACTATTTAGTTTTCTCTGTTCCCCTAATTTTATGGTTGGTTTATAGATGTCATGTTATCCTGCATTGAATGTAATTGTCAAGTTTGATGCTTAGTTTAAAATTATGTGCAATTTTTAAAGTATTGTAGCTCCTAGATGGACGTTAATTATATATAGATACTATTATTATTTGTAGATAATAGATACACATTATGGACAGCACTAGCTAAAATGTAATAAAATATGTTATTAAGTCTCTTCATGATTTTGCAGGTCATTTTATCTTGTAAGTGATGAATAGATTACAAATGAAATATATTAGAAGCAGCTTTACTTAAAATCAGGCCCACGTTATTTTTATTTTATACATTAAGTTTTTAGTTATGCTACTCTCAAAATCATTCCGCATAAATCTGCTGATTTTTTATTTTTTATTTTACAAAAATCAAAGCAGAAATAGCAAAAAAAATTTCCACAGATTCAGTCTGGCCCTACTTAAAATATATTAAAAGATATATTTACATTTCTCCAGGATTTTACAGGGATTTTTCATGGTGTAAAATGTCAGATTTTGTGACCACTTTTCTCATTTAATGTTTTTAAATGTTGTTAAAACTTTTCTCAAAACTTAATTTGCTTCAAATCTTATATATATGATCTGATTGGCTGATAGCCGTGATATAGTCAAGATATATCAGCATCCGTACTAGCTCTAAAGTGACCTTGGTGAATTAGTAACGGCTTCTGCTGTTTTGAGGTCATTGCCTTAAAACAGCCAAAAATGGCAAATGGGGCAAATTTATACACCATTTCAAAAGTAAAACATTTTCTAATAGGTAGTGTAATCTACACAACATTAAGGGTCAGGGGCAGTGTTTCGATGTGATCTGGTTTTGTTGTAGTTCTTTGACTGCTGGTGTTGGTTGCTGTATGGTTAAGAATTATGACAGTTAAAGTAGCTAGGTTAATTTTGATATAAATAAATTAAAATTAAATAACATATTAATGTAATATTATGGCCAATATATGCATTTGTGAGGGTTTTTGGCCCCTTTTACACTGCCACTTACATGTCACCCAATTCAGATTTTTTTGCGCATAGGCTATGTGACACAGATCGAATCTGTTCTCTAACCGTATAAACACAAACCAAACGCATGCATTGAGATGTTTAGAGATCAATCTCAGGCCTTCTTTATATGTGAAAATAAATCAGATGTAAATTGGATATGTGACAATGTGATTATCATGTAAACAAGCAGATTGGATTTATTGAGGCATTCCGTTTTGAATGTCATTAAACTTGCGATAATGTAACTTCTCCACGGTTAAATGGCATAGAAGGAAGAATGTGTGTGGAGATGCCGACGCAGTAAACAATAACAAAAGGCAACAAATCGGAATGGGGCATCAAGACCTGACAGTGTAAACGGGGCCTTTGATAGCTTTTGGGCTGGAAAAAAGTGATGGCTACACTGATTGTAATTTAATGTAGTTTATAGTTTGTAGCTGTCCTTCAAACCAATTTGTACCACACAATTGTCAGCAAGAAGTGTTTAATAATTTCAAATATAGCTGGTATGTTTTATATATATATATAAATATATATATATATATATATATATATATATATATATATATATATATAGTTAGTTTAAATTTATTAGCCCCCCTTTGAATTTATTTTCTTTAAATATTTCCCAAATTATGGTTAACAGAGCAAGGACATTTTTACAGTTTATTTTGGCTAGAATAAAAGAATAAACACCATTTTAAGGACAAAATTATTAGCCCTTTTAGGCTAATTTTTTCTTTCGATAGTCTACAGAACAAACCATCGTAATACAATAACTTGTCTAATTACCCTAACCTGCCTAGTTAACCTAATTAGCCTAGTTAAGCCTTTGAATGTCACTTTAAGCTGTATAGAAGTGTGTTGAAAAATATATAGTCAAATATTATGTACTGTCATCATGGCAAAGATAAAATAAATCAGTTATTAGAGATAGGTTATTTAAACTATTATGTTTAGAAATATGACGAAAAAGTTTGCTCTCTGTTAAACTGAAAACAGGGAAAACATAAACAGGGAGGCTAATAATTCAGGGGGGCTAATAATTCTGACCTCAACTGTATATATGATTACAATAATGAAAAAGATTAAACTATTTAACATTTTATGTACCACAAATGTTATCTGAAACATTGAAATAGACACTGTACTATTCATTAGTACTTAAATTCTCACTAGTATTCAGCTTCATTTTCTAGCCCTCATTTAGCTAGTGTTTACTTTTTCTCTCTTGTAAATAATCAATTAAAGCAAGTGGTCGACTGTGCCAATGAAACCAAGAAGATTGATGGGGCTATTGGACACACCAGCTCACATATGGATGAGTGTCTGAGGTGAAAGGTTAAGCACATCCTTGCTGCGAGGTCAAGCTCCTCAGTGATTTTAGTTTTTTCTCTAAGGAGTTTAAACTAACAAATAAACAACAACAAAAACATCATTATTCTCCCATACATTTGCTCTTCTTTTGTTTAGCACTGGAAGTCGCCCTACATTTACTTAATTGCAGCATCAAACAAACCCCATGGCCGTGAGGAATGGAAACGTTGTGTATTTAGTGCCAACAAATTTGACTTTTCATTTGAATTTGACTCTGAATTTGAATTTCCAGTTGTACTGCAAGTAACCCGAGGCAGCGTTTGGTTCACGCTTGGGTCTCTGAATTTGAATAAGTTAGTTTTGAAGGCACGTCCTGGTGAGAACGGCCCCACCTGCCTCTTTACTGACAGCATCATATGCTTTTTTTCTGTTGGAAGCAGTCAGAGGAGGAAGAGATGGAGTTGGTGAGTTTTACAGAATGCATTGGGAAGGCTGATAAGCTGTTTGATTTTTAAATCACACTACTTTAACTAGCAGAGCCGCACTCAGAGTCCACTGCTTGAGATGGAGATCGACTAAACCCACCATGAACTGGATGAACTCATCATGAGTGTGTGTGTGTGTGGAAGTCTGCATTGTGTGTGACTCAACACTGCATGTTTCGAGCCTTTTTAAGGAAGTTTAAAAGAATCACAGTATGTATGTGTAAGAGCTAAAGGAAAACTGTTGTGGGTGTTTTCAAGGAAGAACAAAAAGGAGAATGGTGCATCCACAGAAATGCAGTTATTAGTAATTATTTTATATTTCCCCAAGACCTCACCAATAAACCTGGTATTCATTTTAGTTTTGAAGCAACATAAAAGCTTGGAACAATCAAAGCAGAACACACAAATCCACATAAAACATTCTATTGCAGTCTACATTTTTGAGCATTACCCAAAATCTTATGCGCTTTTGCATTTCTTTGGCCTGGGCGGTGATTGCATTTTTTATTTATTTAATTTTTTTATTTCTATGATGATGTCGTTAAAATGGAGCAGAGGCCAAAATTATGTCATAAGTTGAGGAGTTTCACATAAGTCCTAAGTTTCTCTCGATTTACTTAAATTTACTGCAATAGGGTAAATATGTAATACATAATGATTGTAAATGGGTTTGAGTAAAATGCTACTATATTAATTTCATAACTTAAGGTAACTTTTGAAGGTAAACATGTATGTGAATTATGTAAAACGTGATATGTAAACACATAACAATTGTATTGTATTCTCTTTAAATATCTAAACAGATTGGAAAACATGACATATTTTTGTTATTTTATGCAAACAAACACACAAATAACTAAATAACTAACTAACTAAATAAATAAATAAATAAATAAATTTAACAAAATAATACATAAATAAAGCAAGCAGGTTTGGAAGAACTGTCAATAGTATTTTACAGAATAAATCTGAATAAAAAATAACAATTTACTCAACCACACACTATAAGTATCTATAAGTTACTACTACACATGCTCTAAATAACTGAGCATTTTGAAGTGATCTTTCATTTCCATTCCTGTATATTACATGATAAATCAGATTTATTATTTATATTACATATAATCTGTATCTAATAGCAACGTTGTTTTTAAAATGTGTGTCTCTGCGTGTGTCTGTGTATGTGTTTTCACCGCATGCATACACACTTGGCTTGGGGTGATTTTAATTTCACTGCATGCTATTTGGAAAAGACCATATGCAGCGCATCATATTCTCTGATCAGTAAATAAACTCGAGTGTCTTTAATATCGGTAATAATTATACAGTGACTTTAAATGGCAAGCAGCATGTTTCTCCAAGACATTTGCCTCTCTGGCATCAGATTTATCCAGAGTTTCAGAAGAGACCACATCATTGCCTCAAACTGCTCGAACTGATCAAGATTAAGTCTGTAATCTAAACACTTTTTGATATGAGCCCAGCATATTTTACCACTCGACCTCAATCAACAAATCTCTGTATACCTTTTTAGCATAAATTAGGTAGGATCTATATAATATATGTTTATTTAAGAAATCACTTCTTATATTTTATTATTTTTTTTTCTGCATTGTCTTCATTATTAAAGCAGTTCAACTAACTTGCAAAATAATTAAATTTCTGTTTTGAATGAATCTGCAGCGCCCCTTACTGGCATACAATGGTATCACTACACAGTTGTCACCAAACCACTCTTTTTTTGAGGACAGTGCTCCACGTGGATTCATAGAGCGCACATGACTGTCTGCCTCTATAATGTGTGTATTTGTTCCTGTGTACAGAACACCCAGAGGATAAGCAGTTCCCAGTCGACTCAGCCTCTCGCCACACCGGTGGTCTCCGTCACCACCCCAAGTTTGGCACCTCAAGGCCTGGTCTACTCAGGCATGCCCACTGCCTACAACTCTGGTGAGCACAAACGACACACTCCTACATTAGTTTGTTTCTTTATTAGGGTTTCTACAGTGTCTTAAACTGTGCAATTTCCAAATCGTCACCTTAGAATTAAGGTTCTATCTGACATTTTTGTCAAAATTAATTATAAAATGACAACTTATTTATATTATGTGATTTTTTTTTTTTAAGTTGTGTACATTTAATAACTTGTTATTTAAAAAACAAAAAAGGTATTATCTACAGTGGAACTCTAGCTTGGCTTTATAAGGCTCTTTCTATGAGCCAATCAGCATTTAGAATGCATGCACAAAGACCAATTAGGATCAGCTTTCTTTGCCATTCTGCTGGATTGCTCCATTGACAGCGGGAAAGACAGAAAGAAACACAAAAGTCTAAATAATGCTGCACCACACAAAATTCATAAGAAACCTTAAACTGAAAAAGATGTGAGTAAATGTGTTGATTCAGAAGTATTTTTTACATTGAGATGAAATGTTATATTTTACATTATTGAAAAAGAAACAGTTATTAAAAAAATTTATTTATTAAATGTGAAATATTTTTTATTTGTGTATAAATTGTCAGTGAAACATTTTTCAGTGTTGATTTACCTCATTTGTTCATTGTCTGCTTAAATTGAAGTAAGTGCCATTCAAGGCTTAATATCAAATTTAAAGACTTTTAAAGATTAAAGTCTTTAAATTTAATATTAAGCCTTAAATGGCACCTAAATGAATTCATTATATTCACATATAATTAAATAAATGTAATTTAATCATTCATATAAAGCAAATAAGTCAATAAATATGACCATATTAATTACATAAAATTAACATCTGCCCTAGACAAAATATTTAGCACAACAAGAAAAATATTCATCCTAAAACATTACATTAATGTTGCAGAAAGCAAATATTTAACTTTCTCAAACATCAACATATTGTTACAACACCTATTTATATTTGTTGTGATTTAGTTTCTTTATAAGTAATGCTTCAATTGATGATCTACCCCAATTTGTAAATTTAAGAGAACTTTGATAATTTACATTTAGAGTACATTTAGGGTCTCTGCTATGTTCATGTATGAAAGAGAATTATTTCACACATATTGTTTGCTATATGGAATGCATAATCTTTGAAGTTCACTTTCTCAAAATCATTATAAACGCAGATAGAACCTTATAATTCGAAGGTGACAAAATCAAAAACTTTTAGCTCTTAAAAACCTGCTGAAAACAAAACAAAACAAAAAACACAATAGAAGCCATATGCTGAATAACCAGTAACCGTTAAAATGTACAGGTTTTAATAGGTAAAATTATTCTTACAGCTAAGTCACTGTGGTTTGCAAAGTTTTTTTGACATTTAACAGACTATAAGAAACTTTGCAAGTACATGTCAACTTACACTGACCCTATATCCAACCCTAACCTCAACCTAACAGTCTACTTATAATCTAATGAGAATTAGTTGGCATGAAGATGCATAACTTAATTTAACAAATGGACAATCAAAATAAATGTGACTGCAGAAAGTCTTAATTTCTCTGAAATATTGTGTTCTAATTCATAAATAATTTTGTGTGTCTTTGTACACTCTCATAGAGGTAGGTGAGCTGTCACCTTTTCAAAAGGTACACATTTGTACTTAAAGGGTCCATATTGGTACAGTACCTCAAAATTATATGTTAGTACCTACACATTTTAAGAGGAATACCTTTGTACTTTTTAGGTACTGTGTAACCTTGAGCTATTAATATGGAACTTTTAGACACAAATTTGTTAATTTTGAAAAGGTACCACAGCTTGCATACTTTTATTGTATTTTTGTGTTACTTTTTGCAGTTTTATGTTGTGATTCCGTGGTCTTTCCCTATTTTCTTTCACCTTTTTAAATATAGAAGACTTTATTATTGTATCACAAAGGAGACAAGCATTGCAGGTCTTAAATTTCATGCATAATGTTCTTTAAAAAGTCTTAAACTAGACTTGGTGAAACCTGAATAAAGCCAGTTTATAATGTATAATTTCATTCATGGCTTGATCTAATTTCACTCTTCTTAATAAAGAGGAAGATCCTACAACTGATGAAAGAGTGTCGGTCTGAGCTGAGTGCAGAACAGAAGTACTTGAAGCGCTTGAGTGTGTGAGTGCAGAGGTGTTGGAGTGACTCATAAACTGTTGTGGTGTTGTTTTGCTCTAGAATACTCCCTGAGCAGTGCTGAGCTCTCCTCTCTGCAAGGCTTTGGCTCTCCAGGGCTCTCTATAGGCTCAGTGTCGGCATGGCAACAGCATCAACTGGGCCAGGCAGCTCTCAGCTCGCTGGTGTGAGTAAAACATGCGCACGCACATACACATATACACATGTACAGCTTTTTTTTTATTTATTTATTTTTTACTAAATTTTAGACCTTAAAAAGTATTAAAATTTGCAAAATATTGTTTTGTAGGCCTTAAATCATTTTAAACATGTCTTAATTTTCCTAAGTCCATGAATTGCTATTCAAGCCAAAATCATCCAATCACCAGCAATCCATCTCAATATAACTTTTACCAAATAGTTCAATTTTAAACTCTATTTACCTATATAGTTTGATTATCTTTCTTAAAATAACATTTAAGGTGAGGACACTGACCTGGAGAGACAGTTATTCCATATATTTAGCTTTTTTCTCTTTTTAATATGGTAAAATAAGTGCATCTGTGAAACCAGAGTGTGCTTGTTGTGATACATTATTTAAAATATGTGGCTTTCTTTGATAAGGATAGTAAAAATGGTTTCTTTTTCCATTACAAAAATAAATCTGTATAGTGTTTATCACCACGTATAAGTCTTACATTTCATTGATAATGGTCTCAAAAAGTCTTAAATTTGACTTTATGAAACCCTGTTAAAACCCAACATTACTCTCACAGGAAACCATCTGCATATTTACAAGTTCAAAATACTTCATTTTGTGATTTACGAAGCCATTTTCTTCTAAGGGAGATAAAAAATGTCCCCATAAATTCAAACATTAATTGAATTTCTATACTTGTGCAGACATTTGATCAGAGCACTAAATAATTTCACCCAAACTTGAGGAAACAACACTTTTAGTTGACATACGGAAGGATTACTGGATGTTCAGGCCTTATTTCACTCAAAATACATCAAATAAATTGTTTTGATTGAAATTAAGTTATGGATATGAAACAAATAAAATGAAAATCAGCATAACAATCCAAAAACTCAACCATTATCTTTAAAATTAACTCATCATTATATTTTTGAACTTTTACAATTTTAAGAAATTATATCTAAAATATGTATGATAATATTTATAATTGTAATAAATGTATTATCATGATTTAAAATCAATTAAAGACTTTATGGCAAGATAAATATGCTTAATTATAATGAAAATAGTTACAAAAAATTCAAACAGGAAAGAAACCCATCAAACGCATTTTAATGAAGTTAGTTGGACACCTGGCCATCAGTAAGAAGAAAGCAGAGAACTAACAAAACAAATAATAATTAATAAATAATTTATTAATCAAAAAATAAAACAGACGGCAGCTCCTCTGGAGACTTTTTTACTGAAAATAAACCATAATCTGTCCAGGCCTGGTCCTCTCTCGTCTCACTGCTGTCTCTCCTCCTTTTAACATCCAGAGCTACTCCACAAGACTCGAGACAGGTGATGCGTGCAGGTGTAATTATTTAGCACTCACGCCACCCACCTCATATGCCCTCACAATTCTCAGCCCCACCTCACTCGCTAGTTTGTAATGACCTTTATTTACAAAAAATTGCAATTACAATTTAAATGACAGTTTAATTTAGACATATTAGCTATTATATCATTTATAGAATTATTGAGTTGATAAAACAATCATCAATATATTATATTTTATATTTTATATTTTAAAATATAAAAGAGATATATATATTATATATTATCTTATATATTTATATAAGAGAGAGAGAGAGTATTTTTATATTTTATTTTATATAAATATTGTAGATAATGATCACATATCTGAGAACATGTCTTACTCATCATCTGTCATTACTCCGAGAACCAGTTATGATAACATTATTAATGTAAACGGGAAAAAATTACTTAAACTTTGCAAAAGTCTAGGTTTATATATTATAAATGGTAGAACCAAAGGAGATTCTTTCGGTAGACCTACATATTGCTCCAAATTAGGAGCAAGCGTAGTTGATTATTCAATGACAGACATTGACCCGTATTTTATTAATGCCTTTACAGTTAGACCTCAATGCCCCATTTCTGACCATTGCCAAACAGTCCTCTACCTGAAGCAGTCATGTAACCAGCTCAATGTCCCTCCCCTTAATCAAGGAAAATTGTTCCCTTTAAAACCCAAACTCAGCTGGAGTCAGTCTGATGCAGAAATATTCAGAGAAAACATGTGCAGCTCTACAGTACACAAAATGATAAATCTCTTTATGTCCACAAATTACACACCAGATACTAGTGGAATAAACTCTGCAACATCCAATCTTAATAACATATTTCAAACTTTGACTACTATATCTAACATCAAACAACAATTCAAATTTGGAAAAAACAAACAAAAAAATATAAAGTACATTTGGTTTGATAATGAGTGCAAAAATCTCAGAAGAGACCTTCGCCAGATTGCTAATAAAAAGCATAAAGCACCAGCTGATCAAACCCTAAGACTTGCATATTCACAATGTTTAAAAAATTATAAAAAGTTGATTTGCAACAAAAGAAATCAATATTATGAGGATAAAATTAATGAAATTAATGAATCAATAGACCAAAACCATTTTTGGAATCTATTTAAAAAATTTGAAAGACCCCAAATGGAAACATCACTGCAATGTGGCACGGTCTGGAAGAATTATTTTAAAAAATTATACCAACAGCCAGAACTCAACCAGCCTCAAACTAAAACCAAGAGTAGACTTGACGATTTAAAGAAGACAATTAAAGATTACCAAAACCCATTAGACACAATTATATCAACAACAGAAATATCAGAACACATTAAACATCTGAAACTGAAGAAGGCTTGTGGACAGGACAACATCAGTAATGAAATGCTAAAACTCAGCAGCCCTGACATAATTCGGGCTCTTGCCAAACTATTCAACCTGATCCTATCCTCTGGTGACATCCCTGAGACATGGTCTGAAGGACTGATTACACCTATACATAAAAACGGAGATAAATTCGACCCCAATAATTATCGTGGCATTTGTGTTGGCAACAACTTAGCAAAACTATTTTGCAATATTATTAACAACCGGATAGTGACATTCATCACAAAACATAACATCCTAAACAAATCACAAATTGGCTTCTTACCAAAACAACGGACATCTGACCATATTTACTCCCTTCATACTTTAATAAATAAAAACATAAAGAACAAACAAAGAAAGATTTTCTCTTGTTTTGTAGATTTTAAAAAAGCTTTCGATTCTATTTGGCATGACGGACTATTATACAAATTGTTGCAAATTGGCATTGGTGGAAAAGTATATAGCATTATAGAAGCCATGTATAAGAAAAGTAAATGCGCTGTAAAAGTTGGAAATATGAGAACAGAGTTTGTCCAGCAGAGTCGAGGGGTGCGGCAGGGTTGCAGCCTGAGCCCAACCCTGTTTAACATCTACATTAATGATCTGGCAAACATTCTAGACGGCTCCGACTGCATCCCCGGCCTCACTCTGCTTGACTCTAAAGTAAAGTGCCTGCTGTATGCGGATGACCTGGTGCTGCTGTCTCCCACAGCAGAGGGTCTCCAACACAGCCTGACTCTGTTGGAGCAGTACTGTGAGGAATGGGCACTGACGGTCAACCTGGACAAAACCAAAGTCATGGTGTTCCAGAAGAAGGCCAGATCTCAGGGACACAAATATCAATTCACATACAGAGGAGAAACTCTAGAGCATTGTAGCAGTTACTCATACCTGGGCATCCAGATCTCTGCCTCTGGGGGCTTCAATCTCGCTGTCAAGACCCTGAGCGAGAGGGCTCGCAGAGCATTCTATGCCATAAAATCACGCTTTGGCCAACTACAGTTACCAACTAAAACATGGATTAAATTATATCACGCTATTATCAAACCTATATTACTATATGGGAGTGAAATTTGGGCACCAGTATTAAAATTAGAAAATTGGAATAAAAGTTTAATTGAACGAACACAATTAGAATTTGCTAAAAGCATATTACATATTCACAGAAACACGTCTAACATTGCCTGCAGGGCTGAACTGGGTTTATACCCGCTAAATTTGGAGATTCAGAAACGAGCTGTTCAGTTCTGGCTGCACCTGCATCAGTCGGACCCCCAGTCTGTCCAATATAAAGCCCTTCTGGCTAATGAAAAACCTACAGTGTCTCATCCTCTAAACACACTGGTATCTGAGCTACTGGAAAAAACACAAACCGAACCCGTCCCCAAACAAAACCTTCACAAACAAATTGACAAAACATTAAAATATAACTATGATGAAAAACTGAAAACTGAATTCAACCTCCAGACTAAACTTAAATGTTATTCGGCCCTAAATAGAACCACACAGTTGGCAAATTATTTATCATTAAAACAATTAAAAGAAAAGCACATTCTTTCCAAATATCGCCTCTGTGATCATGACCTAGAAATAGAAAAAGGCAGACATAAAAAATCCTGGACTCCTGAGGAAAAGAGAATATGTAAACAGTGTGACACAAAGCAAATAGAGGATGAGACACACTTCCTTCTGTTCTGCCCCAAATACAGCACGACTAGAGAAATATTTTTCCCCCAATTTGAAACATTGATCAATTCATTTTTTAACTTAAATGACTCAGAAAAACTTTACTATATACTCGGAGAGGATGAATTGACATTTGAACTGGCTGCAAAATATGTATATACCCTACACACCATAAGAAACGGTTAATGTAAATTTGTGTCTTATTTAAATAATTTAAACTTTTTACTATTATTATTATTATATTTATCAAATGTATTGTTTTTTTTTTTTGTGTCATTATATCTTATTTGTATTACTATTAATTATTATTTTCAATGGTTTTAATATGTTTCATATTTGAAATGCTTTGGCAATACTGTATTTAATGTCATGCCAATAAAGCAACTTGAACTGAACTGAACTGAGAGAGAGAGAGAGAGAGAGAGAGAGAGAGAGACTATACATTGACATAAACTATGTTGATATACACTGTTTTAACTGTCACAGCACAGTTCAATATTCACAGTATAAAAAAAGTCTAAAAAATAATCTACAGTGATCTCTTTCCAGACCCTGTGAATGAAAGCCTTCATTTAAACGCAGTGGTTGTGTCATCAAAACATTAGTGAGCTGTTTTTGTCACGTTCTGCCAGGCATGCTCTAATTAGATACCACCCTCTAAAATGATTCAGGTGCTGTTATTGCTGCAAGCACTATCAACTAAACAGATGGAGGCTTGGACATCATTATTGGGCGTCTAGTTTATCATCATATAGTAGGAATGTGTACTGTAGTTACAGTGGCCCCTACTTATACTGGCACCCTTGGAAAAGATATGCAAAAATAAATATCTTTATTGTTTTACAGTAGATTTTGATCTTTTGATCAGATTATTTACAAAATCTCTGCTCCAAGTGAGAATGCAATCAACTGCATTTATGCAAACAACTGCATAAAAGCACAGTTTTATTTTAAAAACATGTATATATTTTTTATTAAATATGTCTGTGCCACAATTGGCATATTTATTCACAACCCTATGAATATTAGCAAAATATATTTTTTTCAATTATATTCTAATAAGGAAATATTTTTAGTACACCCATGTGGCTACAATCGAGAAATTACTCAGCTGTTTTAGAGCAGTATAAATACACTGTTAAAAAATCCTGAGTTCCACACAATCAATTTGTGTTGGGACAACATTAAGTAATTTAGTTGATTTATTAGTTTTTTACTAATTTAAGTGGATTGAATATCAAACAATTAAGTTGTCCAAAGAAAACCTCCAGACTTTTGTTGTTTCAGCTAAATTTAAATAAGTAGTTTAAACAAACAGCAAACATATTTTTTTTGAGTGTATAAGGAAATACAAAGGCCAGACTCACTCAGCCAATGGCATATGACCAAAGAACAAAGCTGTGACTGGGGGACAATTTTGGTTAAGCTTCACAAAATGGAAAATATCTATAAAAAAAAAACACTGATTTCCACAATTAGGGAATAATTTATATTACTTATACTAATTTATAGCATAATATAATATAATATAATTGGGCGACGTGGTGGCACAGTGGGTAGCATGTTCGACACCGAGCAAGAAGGTCGCTGGTTTGAGCCTCTGCTGGGTCAGTTGGTGTTTCTTTGTGGAGTTTGCATGTTCTCCCCGTGTTTGCGTGGGTTTCCTCCAGGTGCTCCGGTTTCCCCCATAAGTCTAAAGACATGTGGTATAGGTGAATTGGATAGGCTAAATTGTCTGTAGTGTATGTGTGTGAATGAGTGTAGATGGGTGCTTCCCAGTGATGGGTTGCAGCTGGAAGGGCATCCGCTGTGTAAAACATCTGCTGGATAAGTTGTGGCGACCCCAGATTAATAAAGGGAGTAAGCCAAAAAGAAAATGAACAAATGAATAATAGAATAGAATAGAATAGAATAGAATAGAATAGAATAGAATAGAATAGAATAGAATTAACAGTAAGTGTTAAGAATCTGGAAAATGATGTGTGTTTATCTTGTCCCAGCACACTGTTAAGAGGATGGTTCAAGTTGGCTATTGGGGTCAGAGCCTGTCCAAAATTACAATATTTATTTATTTATCCATTTATTTTTTTGAAGCATCTTTTATGAATTGTGCCTATATTAGAGTAGGGCAATGTTTCCCAACGTCTTTCTAATCAAACACACCTGAATCAACTTGTCAGATCCTAAAAGGTGACTCCAAAACCTGAAGTTAATGGGTTAGTTAAGGGAGAGGTTCAAAATATGTACTGTTATTGTTCCTTCAGGACTGGGGTTGGAGTAGGGATTAGTTTTGTGCACTTCCACTAATCTTCCTAATTTTCTGTCTTTCTTCAGAGGTGGCGGTCACTTACCTCAGGGCTCAAACCTCTCCATCAACACCAGCCAGAATGTCAACATTAAATCAGAGCCCATCTCTCCTCCACGCGAGCGTGTAACCCCATCTGGTTTCCCACCACAGCAGCAGCAGCCTCCCTCTGGCCGTCCTGACATGGGCCGCTCACCCGTTGACAGCCTCAGCTCCTCCTGCTCCTCCTACGATGGCAGCGACCGAGAGGATCACCGGCCAGATTTCCACTCCCCGCTTGGCCTGGGTCGACCTCCAGCCGGTGGGGCAGACGAGAGGGAGAGTCCATCAGTCAAGCGCATGCGCATGGACACCTGGGTGACATAAAGCTGTCCGAAAGCCGACAGCCAGTCAGTCACACACAGGGCTGGGCAGGGGGAAAGGGAGAGAGAGAGGTTTGACAGCAGGGAGGGTCATTATTGTTGTTATTATTATATTCTATTGTTATAATTTAACGTCATTTCACTTTTTTTTGTAAGTAGGTGGACGGGGAAAGAAATCGAAAATGTCCTGACATATCGAAATTTAGCAGATGAGTGGAGAGAGAGAGAGAAATCTCAAGTCGAGCAGTCAGAATAAATGGTGTACTCAAAAAAACAAAAAAAAATTCATAAAAAAAAAAATACCGGTGTTATCAGGTACTGCATTGTGCAAAAGTCCAATGTATGAAGAAAACCTCTTCGATTATTGTCGTCACTGGTGCAGTTTGACACTTGTAGCTGTTTTTCGCTGTTGAATTTGCAAACAATCAAAGAAAGTTTAGGGGCGGCTTTCTGTCAGAAGGCTTTCACCTGCTGGGCTCACGTATTAAACAATCCGTATCTGCACTCGCCCTTATATGAAGTATGTCACTTAATAATTTATTTAAAGGTATTTGACGATAGGTTTGGATCAGTTATATGAGGGTAGGCTTGTATCTAAAATGAGGTTTCAGATAAGACATTAAGTAAAAGAAATGAAAATGTCTCTAAATTTATCAAGTCGTCGATTCAATTCTCAATATTTTCTATGGGTGTTTTTAACAAGCGGGAAGAAAGTGCTAGTCTGGGGTGCGTTTCCCAAACAACAACTTAACTCGTGGCTGAACTATCATAGTAAGATGGATTATTTGGGGAAAGAATTATGTAATATTATTAATATATTATTATTCGTTGTTCGAATGTTCGTTGGAAAAACGAATTTGGGAAACGCCATATCAAAAACTATGTAACAACAGAACTTGCGACCTTAGTTAGCTAACGATGGTTTTGGGAAACGCACCCCTGGTTTATTTAGAGACGGAAGCAAGTCGTTGTACATTCATGCAGCTCCAACAACTCAATGGTAACGCAAGCCAAAGCCTCTATGTAATTTTGTCGTACTGTAGGTTGGGAATTTTCAGCATTTCTCTCTCGATGTTCGTTTCATATCGGTTCTGTCATAGTGTGCATTGTTACAAGCATTGGAAAACCATGCAAAGCAGATCTTGAAATGATATCTAAAGCCATGAACACTTGCTGTTCTGTTTGTAAATTAAAGATTTGAGCCAAACCTTTTTTTTCTTTTTTTTTGTTATGTAAATAGCGACTTTAATATATCACTTTGGTGTAAGTACGTATGTATTGTACCTTCACCAGATTCAAGAAAAAAAGTATATTTTTGTGGATTACTGCCAAGTTTACAAGGCGAGATCCTTATTAAGTAGAGTATTCACTGGTTAATATTTACTATTTTGTTAACTATACTGTACTTTCGTCAAATCTGACTATTATTGGTAATAATCAAAGTGTTTTCTGTTTTCAAGAAGGTCATTTCTTTTTTTTTTTTTTTTTGGGTCGTTTACCCTTTAATGGTGGTGAATGTCTGTCCATAAGAAATTGTAACAACAGAGCTCGGTTTAAGCTCGACTGTCTTTATTTTGTTGTTTTGTAAAAACGACACTCGTCATGCTAAGAAAAAACAATTGCATTTCTTACAACTGTTTTGTGAGGGATTAGCCTTCAGCTGCTGAATACACTGCCTACTTTAACCCATCGCGGCTTAGATGCACTATTCATCGAAACCCACCGACATTCCCTCGGTTTATATAGAAAGCTCGTTTTCGTTGAAACCCCCTTGCTAAATTCATTTCAACCGAATCCCTCGGATATTGTAAATACCATAACTTTAATCAACCCGAATACATACTATGTACAGAACGCCTTGGCGGTTATTTTGTGAATTGGCTCATCTACGGATTTCCTAATGTTAAAGGAGACACCTTAAGGAGGCGATGTTCTGTATTGCTGGACAAGAGGGAGCGCTGTAGCTCTCTCCACCGTTGCGTTTGGCTCTATGTGTGCATATCCCTTCATGTGTGGCTGTTTGTTTGTGCGGCACAAGCGTCTGGTAGCAGTGGCCTCCAGCTTGCATCACACCTCACTGCCCCTCAGGTGGCGAAACGTCAGGGGATTCAGCAGCTAAAGATGGAAATACTAGACAATGCAAACAAACTTGGACATGATCTCTCTACTGGATTGCACACACACTCAAAAAGTTTGTATGTTCGAGTTTGCCATTGAAGGCTTTCCTCTTTAGATTTGTTATGTATTCGGTTGGCGTGTGCACATTACCTCCCTGCCCTCTTGAGCACCACAGCAACTGGCAATAAGCTGATGTTAATCTATGCAGTCCCCAACCCACACATAGCCAGAAACACGAAGCATTCACTTTGATAGTGGAATCCTTGACATATAAAAGATAAATAAATAAATTGAGAGAAAAAAAAAGATTAAACAAAGTCATGCATATTATATTATATTATCATATAAGCCCATTAATCACACGATGTTGCCTAGTTCATGAATAAAGTGCTCTTTTTTTGAGCAGGTGTGAAAATGACTGTTAACCCTTTTGTCCTTAAGTGCTTGCATATTACTAAGATAGTTCAGACAAAAACATTAATTCTGTTATTGATAGTCATTAATCATTCATTTTATTGATATTGAGGCAGATTGTACCACTTTTTTTGTAAACCAGCACATAGCTGAACCCTCAACCTTTCAAATTGTCCACTATTTGATTGAATTTGTCTATTCATTAAGCCTGATCTCACAAGAGTTGTAACTATTTTACATTTGTCAGAATTTTTAAATAGCGGTTGCGCTATATCCCATATTATGAGATTATCATGAGATTGCGCTAGTTTGTTCGATTTGTCCACCCCTATAACCATTATTATCGGGAGATGAGCAAATCATACTAAAATGTACGAATGAGATCATACATATTCAAATGAATTAGCCGGTTAATCAAAACATTAAGAATTGGCATGAGATTGCTTTGGTTTGTTCTACCTTATTCTGTGATGTGGAAGTGCACTCGTTTATGCAGTTGCCTATAGGAAAAATGATTGGGAATAATAAACGGCAGAACATGGTGAAACTACTTGCTCTACAAACAAGTGTGTCCATGACTATATAGACGAATCAGAATAATACAATTGGAAAATATCAGTTTACAGCATATGGAGCTGTTTTTAATTTCTAAAAGTGAATGGAGATGAATGAGATCGGAAGTCTCGATCTAAAATGTTCAATTGGCTCGTACGTGGAGAGTAGTAACGAGTAGTTGTAGCCTAATGTTAATGAGAAAATGTTTTTCTTGTTCCATCTCAGACTCTTTTCCTACTGTATACTTCATTTATTTTGTTAGTTTTATTTTATTGAACACAAAAACGTTCAACATATAATCAATTTGATAGCATTTGGCACTGAAAACATGCGTGTTAGAAAGAATTATCCTTGTCCAGTTTCTGCAATTTTTTCTCTTCACTACTTATAACGACAAAAAATTATCATTAGCTATGTTTCCATGCAAAGATGCAAACTAAATGTATGCGCAAAACTGGAATATCGCAAAAAAGACGTGGGAATAAAGCAACATTTCCATCCAACGGGTCAAAGAGAACAAAATCGTCACTTTCTGATTAACTGGCGCCAAATATCAAAATAAAATGAAATTAGCTGCGGTAGGAGAAGCTGCGTCAATCTTTTCTTAACTTAATTAATTACTTACACCTCAGAAGACAAATGCCGATATGCAATGAACGTGGAGTGGCGTTTAAAGGCATAAGACGCAGAGTGCAGACGCTCTTGATTTTGGAGGTAACTAATAATATAATAACACTATTACTGTAATAGATACAGCATTAATGAATGGCCAAAACAACATTTCAGATGTTTTACATTGTGCTCAGCCTGCTGGTTTATCCATTTACACACGTTTTTGTCATCATATGATCTCTTCTAACAAATCACATTATTTTTTATGCGCATACTGGAATTTGTTCGTTAAAAGTGTTTCCATCAAAGTTTATGTGCAAATTTTCGAATAAAACATTTATCCTACTTAGTATTGCGCATACATTTTTATGCGCATTTTCAAAACATATGTGCATCTTGGCGTTTTCATCGCATTTTTTTAAGCACATATCCAAAATGTGCGTAAAAGTAGGTGGATGAAAACGTAGCTAATGTAATCGTTTAAAATAGAGTTGTGTAAAGTTGTTTATGTGTCGTCTCTTTTGTTTCTTTTTTTTTTTTACTTGAAATGACACTGTTGACACCTTGTGGACGAAATAAGTAGTGCAAAATAATAATTTAGAGTTCCGCCTTAACAGGCCACCTGAAGATATTTAATTAGTTGCCACTTTAACAGCCAAACTGTGTCTGTGTTGTTCAATTTGATGCTTTGACCTCCTTTCACAACACTTCATGCCAATGGTGATATGATACCTTAGTCTACATTTATTCACTCACAGATATATTATAAAGATTTTTTTTATTGTGTGCAATTACATCTAATAGTGTCCTGAACCAAATTCCACTGATGTTTTCTAAAGACATTGATCAAAAACTGGCTTTGAACAAACCGAAGATGACAGAATTCAAATGTTTTGGTTGAACTATCACTTTATAAAGTTATAAAGGCACACCGACTAAATACGACAACCACAAGAGCCATGCAAACACTTCTTTAGCTTTAGATTAAATCTCAGATGTACAAGCTTTGTTGCCTCAGCCTAATTGAAACGCTCGCAAATCCATTAGAAAGTTTCACGACGTCTGTCAAAAATCATGCAGAGTTGATCGCAATCAAAGCTTTTCAGGGTAGACAAGCAATAATGCCAACCCAGTGTTATGAAAGCACTGCGGATTAAAAAAAAAAACATGCAGGATTTTCATACTGCAACAAATGCACACGCAAACACTCGACATTAGTGCTTGATTAGGAATCAGGGAGTTTCTCTGCTACATGCACAATTAGAGCCTTATTCCAAAGAGTTGCTGGTGCTCGGAAACAAATCAAATACGAAATCATTCATCCCATTTTGACTCCATCAAAACAAAATCAGCCTCGCTTCAGGGGTCCCAACACAAAACGCACACGGGAAATACATAAGAGATCTGAAGGGCGGAGGCCGTTCTTTTGGTGTGTCACAAAACCGTTGAATGTGAACGGAAGGGATAAAGAGGAAACAACAATTGTTTGTTGCGTACTTTCTTCACTTTGCTGTGCAAGAGTACACTGCTTTGCTTTATGGCTTTTCTAAATCAGAATTATGTATTTGGTAATTGTTTGTAGTTACTAGCTCACTTCAAGAAGCTGTTTGCGGTTTGGACGCTCAAACCGTTTGGCGGCACAAGCTGGACTTTGTTGCCATAAATGAAACGAGATGTTTCGAAAAAGAAGAAAAAAGACAACAACAACAACAAAAAAAGTCAAACGTGAGAGAACTTTAAGTTAATCTGCATTATATTTCCCTTGAATGTGTTGTTTTATCTTCATTATACAATAAATATTCTAGTGAACTTTTTATTGAATGACTTAAGATATTATGCTAGAGATTGTTGTACAAATTTGTATTCTGCATTCACTAAAGTAAAGATATTGGCTTTTATTGTGTAACATAGGTTCTCTCGCTTATTCTGTGCAAACTGAAGTGAACAATTCTCTGAATCTGAGTAGACTTTGTCCACATGTGAAGTCCCAAACATTAGAATCTGTCCGCTTTATTAAAAACCTCATTGTACCCTCAAGTGCTCACTCTATGTGCCTTCATACTGCATCTCTGAGAAACACAGTCGCTGCACATGGAACTGCAGAGCATTGATGTTTTGCCCACAATACACTTTAGGTTTGAATTATTTACTATATTTTCTTCTTTCTAAACACATAGGGCAGAACATGGACAAACAAGTGACTTTTACATAGCTCCGGAAGTAAGTTCACCAACAAATATCCAAGATAAGAATAAAACACTTCATTTAAACTTATTTAAAAAAAAGACAAATGACCTCACATATGGGAATGAACTTTATGAATATTACAATAAAGTTATAGTTTCACATACAGAATATTTACATTTCCATTACATTTTACATTGAATATATTTATTTTTACAAATATTTTGAATATTTCAATATTTTTTACAAATATTGAAATGATTTATTTCTCAACTGATGTAAAATAAATATCTCTATTACCCATTAATTAATCATTACAAAACAAAGATACTGTAGGCAAATAAAAACATAAATATTTTTAAATATTATTTAATAAAAAAGTAAATTTTAAAATGTGAATAGTTCTAAAAAATATAATTTATTATTGTGATTCAACCCTAAATTTCAGCATTATTACTTCAGTTTCACACCCTAATTTGTTGATATCCTTTATTATGATTATTATTGGTGATAATGGTTCTTATTATCAATGCTGAAAATATAATGTTATAATATATATAATATATAATATAAATATTTTCTGCCTTATGTTTTTTGTGTGGAAAAATGTGATGCAATCAAAACGAATTATTTCAGGATTTTTTCAGGATAACTATTTTATAACAATATACAATTTAATAGAAATATATTAATACATTTTTTCCATCAAATTGTTTTATTTTAAATTATGTGAACACTAAAAAAACATGATGTAGACGATTAGCATATAGCAGTGTGCATAGAAATACATGTAATAACCAATATAAAGGTTGTTAAATAGTAATATTAATAATAATGCCAATAACATCAACAATAGTAACAATAAAAATGTATGTATACATATATATATATATATATATATATATATAAATGTGTATGTATGTATGTATGTATGTATGTATATATATATATATATATATATATATATATATATATATATATATATATATATATATATATATAGATAAATATAGATAAATATAGATATATATAGATAAATATAGATATAAATAAATAAATAAATAAATAAATAAATAAATAAATAAATAAATAAATAAATAAATAATAGATTATGATATTGCTGCAAGAGGTCTCTGACAAGAAAAGTTATTATATAGGAAACCTTAAACAATTACTATGGAGAAAAAAATAAAACATATTAATATAATAAAGAGGGGGGAAAGTCATGCATTTTTGATGTCTCCTTGATTCAAATTAGTAAACCTTGAAGTTTTTTTTCAACGTTTGTGCCCAATTTCTGATGGGGTCCTCTCTTGCACCATGGATGCGATCAAAGGACATTTCCAGATACACAATACCAATAAAAGTCAGAATCCAATGATGGAGGCTTCCATCTTGTCGCAACTATTTTCATGGCTGCTGTCAAGCCAGCTAAAACACTCGCTTCTAAATTTTGTTAATCTGAATATAAGAAAAATCATTTAAAATGAAAATAGAGGGGGCGAGAGGGACTGAAATGTTTAGTATTAAAGACAAATTTTGATTAACCATATTCCAAAAATCACCAAACCCATGCAGGGCAGTCCCAAATCATGTGAAAGAATGTACCAGTTTCACCTGTGTGACAGAGAGTGCATTTAGGATCAGGTTTAAGCTTCATGCTATAAAGTTTGTGTGGAGTAATATAAGTATGGGTGAAATTTAAATGAATCTGTTGATGATCAAGATTCCTATGCAAGTCATTGCCCAAACTTCATCCCAATCAAAGCTGGGAGAACATTCTTAAATATCTGCTCTCCAAGAAGAGTCTAATGACAGAGAGATGTACATTTTTAGTAATATATAAATATTAATGCCTATAAATATATAAATATTTAAAATAAACAAATGTCTGAACATCAATTTGACGTTTTAATGCATAACAACATTCAATAATAGTAAAAATAATAATAATAATGTTTTTATAACTTCTGAATGGTATCATTTCACTGATTGCACAAAAAATATAAAGCTTTTTTCAACGGTGATGATACATTTTTAACATCAAATCGACGTATTAGAATGACCAACGTGCCTGTAATAATCAGCATTACCATAGAATAAAAATAGACCATATTTCACAATATTAGACAAATTGCATTTAATAACAAATATTTGTTGGGCACCAAAATTATGTATCAGAACGGAACAGTTAACTAAGCTTGTCCAAAACGTCCCTAACGACTTGTATTAATGCAATATGAAATAACGCCAGCAGATGGCACTGATTTTACATGTGCACCAAATAAAAGAGTGGACATTACAGGCTGTACGACGCATGAGGCGCAAATTCAGTCTCACAAACTTTACTTCAGATAATATTCTAAGGCAGTCTGACAACTGAACAAATTATAAAGCAGCTTAGACGTGTTCACTGGCATTACAGTGTGTCTAAAAAGCAAATTTGTGTCTAAAAAACGGTTTATCGACACTTCAAGCGAAACACCGAAACTCCAATAACTGTTGCAGAACTAGTCCTCATCACCCCGCCCTGCACTCACAAACCGGTCGAAGCTGAAAAATCTCCACAAACACCAGCACTGCTTCTTACAGGTGGATGTGAAAGTTCATTTCTGTTTTTACTCATGTCTTCTACTATGATACACGGACAGTGATTTATCAGGAAACAGGTAAGAGCATACTCATTTGCTGAAGTTGTAAAATAAACTGTAATGGGTTAACGATTTCCTTCAAAAAAGAGCTTCAAATATCGCTTCTACTGCAAATTGATAATACATTGTCAAAGCTGTAGCTTTCGTGTTTATAAATTTAATTAATTTCTGAATGTGTTGCTTACAGCAAATATACAATCTCAACTTTTAATTTGCCAAGTTTGTTACAGCATTTTGTTCTACACAAATGTAGAAACCTGTTCAACACGCCTCTCTAAACAATTTGCACGCCCGTTTAACATTGTTTAGTAGTATTTTAGTGATGTAACATCACTTTGCTGATAAATCTGTTGACAAATTGTCAGTAAAAATTCTTTAAAATCAGGAGTCTTAAAGACACAAAATAGTTGTTTTGCAAAGTTTATGATTCAGAATTTCTACTTACAAATGGTTTCATGAATTTGAAAAATAAATAAATAAAATATAATAATAATAATAATAATAATAATAATAATAACGTAAGAATGAAAAGCCTCCGTTTATTATTTAGGCAATACTCAGATGCTGTTTTGCTTTCCCTCAAGCTTAGGTAAACATACTTGTACTAGATTTGTTCTGAAAATTATAAATGTAAAAATAATTTTAGAATTTTTAGAAATGTAAAAAATACTGATGATAGTATGCAATCTATTAAGCAACATTATCTGTCTTTTTTACATGTGGTGAAATAAATGTTTGCCTTGTTTTGGCAACTTGAAAACAAGTAAAAATTGTAAAATAGTCATTTTTCCCCCTGCTCCATCAACAATAAAATGTGGTGTGATCATTTTTCTGAGTAACATCACAGTTCTACCACACAGACAGGCTGATGGTCTGTGATGTGACAGTGGAAGCAGCACTTTTTCTGCATACTTTGCAGTTGACACGTGTGCTCTGCACACACTCTAGTTTATGTCTTGTTTTTTCCAGTTTGGCAATCTAAAAAAACAACAACAATGATTTCCAGTTCATCTACGGAAGGATCACTTATCTCCAATCTACTAAACAGATAAACCAGCAATTCAAGGTCTTCAGGATTACTAGACACTTTCAGTCAGGTGTGTTTTGGCAAGCTATTGTAAAACTGCAGGATACTGGCCCAAAACTGGACACACACAACAAGTGTCAGAGAAAATCTGCTAATTTTTTTTTTCTACAGAATAAACTGTGGATGTATTCAGAATGATTTTAACTGGATCTTAAAACGTAAAAATAAAATAATGTCAACAACAGCAGCATAATTATGTTTACAATTTAAATCCAAGTAGAACCGTTTGTTTGGTAAGAAAACTAGAGCAGGTCTCATAATAACATCATAGAAAATATTACTTTATAAACTGTATTGTATGCAATTGATTTAGACATTTAAAGATTTGCATATGTTTTAATAATTGAACCGTAATAAATATTAAAAAATGCAACATACGTGTAGGTAATAAATGAATTAAGCACCAAATGATTGCCTCAACTGAATTCTGTGTATTCTATGTACTGCATGCCAACAATGTACAACACTGTGATGATCCAGTGTAAAACATGGTGGACATCAGTGCCTTGCCTTTTGGCTTAAAATATGTTCAAACTATGAGCCAATAATAGATGCCTAAATGTATAACAGAAATGCCTCTTGACCTTAAATGTGATGTGATAATCTAATACTTGATTTAAAAATAAAACATAGCTAAATTGCAGATTAATACAGACAATAAAGGAAAATACAGCCTCACTGGTTAACTATAGGCATTCCATATCAGTTAATACATATCCTGAAAAACATGATATGCTTATTTTTCTGAATTAGGCATGAAAATAGCCTACAATTATTGCTCAATCCACTGGCAAATAGGGATGTACAATTCATTCATTCATTTTCTTGTCGGCTTAGTCCCTTTATTAATCCGGGGTCGCCACAGCGGAATGAACCGCCAACTTATTTAGCAAGTTTCTACGCAGCGGATGCAAGTTTCCAACCGCAACCCATCTCTGGGAAACATCCACACATACACACACACACACTCATACACTATGGACAATTTAGCCTACCCAATTCACCTGTACCGCATGTCTTTGGTCTGTGGGGGAAACCGGAGCACCTGGAGGAAACCCATGCGAATACAGGGAGAACATGCAAACTCCACACAGAAACGCCAACTGAGGATCAAACCAGCAACCCAGCGACCTTCTTGCTATGAGACGAACGTGCTACCCAATGCGCCACTGCGCCAGGGATGTATAATATTGGGAAAAAAAATTTTTTAACTGCAATATTTACTTTTCACAATTAAATTCACAATATAATTTGACTTAATAATAATAATAATAATACATAATTTATAAGGCACTTTTCTAAGACCCAGAGCGTTTGCAAGAAAGTAAAAAAACAACAAAGCACAGTAAAATAATAAAAAATGCAAAAAAAAAAAAAAACAGTAAGAATAAAATAGATATCACAAATTAAAAACAGTCCTAAAAAGATGAGTTTTAAGTAGCTTCTTAAAACAGTCCAGGGAATCAGCATTCCTAATGTTTGTGGGAAGAGCATTTCAGAGTTTGGGGGCACGGTAAGAGATTGCCCTACCTCCCATGGTGCTGAGTTTGCAACGAGGCTGAAATACTTGAATATTGATGGCAATTCATAATGTTAAAATAATTGGGATAATTGTGTAGAAGAGTTTATCTGCATAATATATAATTCACAATAACAAGCACAGTTACATGTAAATACAGCAGAGCAAATATAAACAATGAAATAAACAGTCCTTTATGGTTTTCTGGGGAGTCCAACAGTATTCAGGTGAAATAATTGGACAATCAAATATAAAATAAACCTCTTTAGTCTTCATTTTGTAAGTGATTATATATCTTTAACCTATAAACTGTTTAGTATGTTGTGCCCAAATAGCTTAAATTTGTTTGAAATGCTTTCAGTCTCATTCACCTCAAAAACACATCTGAGTAAACTTCTCTCTAAGGTTAACATTTAAAATGACTGTTCTGAACTTTATTTTTTGTTGAACTTTTCTCAACTCAGACAAGGCAGTGGTGCAGTAGGTAATGCTGTCGCCTCACAGCAAGAAGGTAGCTGGGTCGCTGGTTCGAATCTTGGCTCAGTTGGAGCCAAGGTTCCAACTGAGTGGGAGTCTGTGTGGAGTTTGCATGTTCTCCCTGCTTTCGCGTGGGTTTCCGGGTACTCTGGTTTCCCCCACAGTCCAAAGACATGCGGTACAGGTGAATTGGGTAGGCTAAATTGTCTGTAGTTTATGAGTGTGTGTGTGTGAATGTGTGTGTGGATGTTTCCCAGAGATGGGTTGCGGCTGGAAGGGCATCCGCTGTGTAAAAAACTTGCTGGATAAGTTGGCAGTTCATTCCGCTGTGGCGACCCCGGATTAATAAAGGGACTAAGCCGACAAGAACATGAATGAATAATCTCAACTCAGCAGACATTGAAGATCCTGTGAGGTGAATATCGCAGATTCACACATTGCGATATTAATGCAGAAATGATCTACTGTATTGTGCAGGTCCTACTATTAACCTGTAATCTACCTGGAAGGATCAGATACACAGTATAATATAAAATCTCAGATGCACAGGAATAACCATGATTAGAGTTGGCATAAAATAAATTGACAAAATTTTCCTTAAAATAGCAAAATGAGTTATTTAAATCAGTGGTCCCCAACCTTTTTTTTTTTACCGCGGACCGGTCAACGGTTGTCAATTTTACAATGGACCGGTGTGGACCGGTGACCCGTTCTTCACGTGAACAGAGCTACTGCACTCGTGCATTCTGGTTAATCATGAACAACTCAGTGCACATGCGATAGTTGCACTATTGCGGTCTGATTATGTTCCAGGTTTATATGCATCAAATACATAGCATCTGTGCTAGGGCTGTGTATTGGCAAGGGCCTAACGATATGATGCATATCACGATACATGGGTCAAGATATTGTGATATATTGCAATAGTTTGTATTAGTATGCGTCAGCAGACAAATTAAAATTCCAATTCCAATTTATTTTCTATCCATTTTAATTCATTAGAACTGCAGTGTGATTGAACAGAAAACTCACTGAAATGTATTAAATGCATATTGTTATTTAGCACTGACCTAAAATGTATATGCCACTAAAGTCACATATAAATGAAATAAATAATTTATAAAACTAAAGCAAGTAAAAAAAAAAATTAAATGCATCAAGTAAACATAAAACTGGAACACAGTGCTCTAATATGCAGAAAACTATTAGAAAATGACAGTGCGACTGACAGCATCTTGAACATTTTCCTGTGAAAACTGGCCGCACAGGTAAATTGATGGCTTGCACGAAACATTTTACATGCAACATGCTGGCCAGCTGTGCTGCTATGGTCATGTTAGACGCGTTTTCTTTTACAAAGACAGGTCCTTCCATGTGATGTCCCATTCTTCCTATGCAGTTTTCAGTAACTCTGCAATGTTAGTAAAGGCAGACTGCAGCTTGTTATTGATGTTATCCAGTGTAGTTTGCCTTGAATCAAGAGGTTTCGGTTGAGGTTGCAGTGCCACTAAATCATCTGCGTGGTGTCTTGTTAGGTGATAACGCAAGTTCGTAGTGTTTACCGAATATTTTAAGATAGATTTGCAAAGCTTGCAAATGGCATTTTTTGTTTAATTCAGTACTATGGTATAGTGTCAAAACCAAAGTGCAGCCACACATCAGCTCTAAAAGCTTGAGGGGCATTTATATTTTCCACCATGCTCACTCTTGCTTACTTCTGATACCACACTACTTAGCGTTTTGTTGATAGCGAGTTAGCGACATCTACTATAGCAATGTAGGAGGTTTTTTGGCACAACTTGAATCGATACTGCAGGTTGGACTATCGATACACTATCGTGAAAAAAATTATCGCGATAGTTCGAAATATCAATATTTTTGCACAGCCCTAATCTGTGCCAAACATTTCAACTGACGAACATATTAACAATAATACAGCCGTATAGCCGAATTAAATGTATGCATTGGCATGTTACAGCCCTAATGAGTATGATTATGTGAAACTCCATATAGAAACATATTGCAATGATTTCGGGTACTTACTTAGTGATGCACGCACACATATATGCACAGTCCTTAAATGCTCTGCTGATTTCGACTCTATAATACCTGTTTTATTACTTTAAACTATCAACAACCACCAATGATCAATATTCTATCATTCTTCCCTTTCCGTGGTGGATTTTGGCATAGTCCATTTCACGTGAGATGGCAGGGGTGAGTAGAAGAAACCAAGTCGCGGGGGGAATGTTTTCTACAGAAATAATTTATGATTTATTATGTGGCCCGGTACCAATTGTTCCACGGACCGGTACCGGTCCACGGCCCGGTGGTTGGGGACCACTGATTTAAATAGCATATTAGAGATCATTTAATTGTAGTAAACTATATTGTATGTGCTTCAAGTACAGCAGACCCCCCACAGATATAATCTATGCAGCAGATGCTGTTTACTTGTGTACAACAATGTTAGCAAGCTTAAAGTATGTTTGTGAAACTATTTTGGTGCTCCAGGACCTAATCTGTCACAGACAGGGTGCACGTTATGTAATATGACAACAAAGTGCGGATGTATACTACAACAAATCTAAACCTCAGTCATTTCATAAATCTGATGGAGGCTGTTAAACTTTCTTTCTTTCTTTCTTTCTTTCTTTCTTTCTTTTTCTTTCTTTCTTTCTTTCTTTCTTTCTTTCTTTCTTTCTTTCTTTCTTTCTTTCTTTCTTTCTTTCTTTCTTTCTTTCTTTCTTTCTTTCTTTCTTTCTTTCTTTCTTTCTTTCTTTCTTTCTTTCTTTCTTTGGGTGATAATTGTGTGATAGGTGCTTTGATCAACCTATACCTCAGCTGAGTATTGGTGAGAGTGTACTGTATGTACTTTACTCTCTCCACCTTTGATGTCTGTCGGTACTGAACCAAAACCAAAATCAAACCTAAACACTTTTTATTTCAGCTCCCTAACTATTAGAACAGAACTGCCCATAATATGAATATAAGAAAAAAGTTATGCACATTTATTATATATGGAATAAACAGTTGATGTACTTAACTGATATAATCATTTTGTAGTGTATGTCTGTAAATGATCATGCCAAAGAATTAAAAAAATAAAAATAACTTAAAAAATCACTCAATTTTTACTTACCCCCAATTGGTTTGATATGAACTTGTTACTAATTCTGATCTAGGGCGCTTTGAAATCAGATTGTTTTACACTCATTTAATACTCAGTTTCAATTTCAGTGTTCAAAAATCTGTTCTAGGTAATATATATTCAATTAAATTCCTTACATTATGTTACACATTATAAGACATGGGACGATAACTGGTTTTGTGGTTCATTGAGGTTTTGAAAAGCCAATCTGTTAAAATTTTCTGTTATACTGTCCCTAAGGTATTTGTAAATTGTTGTTTTTTTGTTTTTGTTTTTTTATGACTATTTTATAATTTATTTTTTTTTGGGGGGGGGGGGGGGGGGGGTTGTCTGTAGTTTCCACAGCGGAATGAACCGCCAACTTATCCTGCATATTTTACATTTTATATCCTATCATGTTTTTATGCAGTGAATGCCCTTTCAGCTGCAACCCATCACTAACAAACAACCATACTTTACACACTCATTGACACTAGGAATGCTCAAAGTAATCGATTAACCGTTAACCGAAAGGGTCCGTTTGTAACCGAATTATGGTATCAGTTAAACGATTAAAAAAATATTGTTTTACTTATTTTATATTCGCTGCATAAGGGGCTGATCGAATGTGCTTTTTGCGTTTAGAGGGAGCCATCTTTTGAATGGTTTACTAAAAGCCGCAAGTGTTTTGCACACGGCTCAACCCAGAGCAGCAGTATGTGTGTTGTCAAGACAACTACAGAGAACTTTTAAAGAGCATGGTTCCTGCTACATTCATTCTTCCATGGCGAGGCGCCACACCAAAATGTATCTCTCCACAGCTTCTCATTCTAAACATTTAGTTGTTGTTGTTGTTGTTGTTTTTAATAGCGGGTTATAATCGCACCAAAACGTATTAAAAGGTAAGTGAATTTTCTGTAAAAGTGATGTGCGCTATTTGTTAAACCCATTGAGGTCACGTGCTGACAGACTGACAGGTGCGTGATGCGTGAAGCCAGCAAAAACAATGTAGTTTTCAGGTATGATGAACACAGTTTCTATAATTTTAATTTATTTATAGATAAAGGTCTGTGGTTCTGCATACAGTGACTTTATCTTGCTGGAGTTTATAGCCGTTTTACTTTACTTCAGGATGCATTAAAGTCTATTGGAGACATTCAGAAATATTCCTAGCAAATCTAATAAATGTTGGAGACATACTCACTACATAAATGCACTAAATCACATTTTAGCAGTGTTTATTTGAGAGCGCACCAGAAGATCTGCGCTTGACCAGCATATTTGAGGGGTGTGTAAGAGGTTTTGTTCACAAGCAGAGGAAATCGGCGCACTTCTTTTTTTTTCCTTTTCAACATAAAAGGTGTTTTTAGAAAGGAAAAAAACAACAACAAAACTGTTTACAAAAAGTCAACATATGCAGGCGTTGTCATTTACTTTTCGTTATGCAGCGCGCACACTTGAAGAGAGAGAGAGGAAACCTTATATCAAGACATAATCTTTAAAATAATGATTTCTATTAAAAATGTAAAAAAAAGTTTTGTGATTATAACAATAACAGCAGGTCATTAAATAAATGCATATTTTCCCTGGAGCGAGCGATTTGAGGAAGTCTGCTATTTTTATTTGACGGAAGAAAAAAAAACATATGATTGGGGGAAAAAACAGCCTATGCCTGTTCTTAAAAAAGACCAGTCAGTGTTTTTGGTTTGTAATCTAAATAAACAATTTAAGTAAAAATTAGGGCAGGCCTATTTATTTTATTCATTTTCCTTAGTTTATTCTGGTTGTTTATTGGAAACATGTACGGCAGGTGCGTGAAGATGATTTGTTGTTATGTTCTGTTATTAATATGTTCGCATGGTAAAATAAATCAGTATTTTAAAATGCAATATTTAATGTGTCAGACACAAAATAGAAGTTAAAAAAATAATATTAATAATTTAATAATAATCTGACCAGTTAACCCTTAATATCCGATTAAGGAGCCGCGGTTATCGGTGAGCAAAATAACCCGAAATGAGCATCCCTAATTGACACGCATACACTACAGACAATTTAGCCTACTCAATTCACCTGTACCGCATGTCTTTGGAATTGTGGGAGAAACCAGAGCACCCGGAGGAAACCCACTGGAACAAGGGGAGAACATGCAAACTTCACACAGAAATGCCAACTGACCCAGCCGAGGCTCAAACCAGTAACCTTATTGCTGTGTGGTGACAGCACTACCTACTGCCACCTCGTTGCCCCCAATTAGTTTTTTATGATAATAATAAAGCAAAAAATAACACTGCAACTTTGCTCTGTAAATAACTCATTGTTTAGTGCACAGCCACATTTTGTGTCTTTCTGCTACATAGTAAATTCCATTTATGAATTCCATGAATTAGGGCATGTTTTCCACAAAGCATGGGCTGGTATAAGATTCTGACGGTATGATAACCTTGGGTAAAAATATCACAGCTCCACGATATAACGGTATAGTAATTACTGCTGTAAAAACATGTTCTTTTTAAATGTCCGGGTAAAAAACAACAACTTTTTCCCCATTGAACATGGCACATATTTTTTAACATTTAAAATATTTTGAAACAATAAATGTCAGGCTAAATCATTTAAGTAAGTCATGGACTTCTGCTTAATTAGTTTCAAAAACACAGATTTCTTTTTAACTTTAAAAGGCATCTTTGGATATCTTTTCTTTGGATATAAAGCAAGCCTCTGCACTATTCAACAGTACAGCATGCTGGATGTTGGTTTATTATTTGTTTTTCAGATGTTTCCTGAATCATGGACTGACCAATAACTTGTAATGTGGAGGGTCCTTTTCTATTGTTACCCTATTGTTAAAAATAAATAAATAATCAAAATTGTCATAAAAAACGTAAAAAAAAAACAAACTTGCAAATACCTTAGGAATGGTGTAACGGAAAATTTTAATGGTTTTAAAAACTTGACTTTTCAAAACCGCGGTATACCTTAAATCTGGTTATCGTCCCATGCCTATTTTTCACATTGTTGACCCTACAACAAACAAACACTGTAGTGTAACGCAATGTTTTACTCTGACTATATTTAAACCATTGTTTCCTTACAGTTTTCCGTCTAATTTCATTTGTCTTTTTCCGTAGTTTGTCGTGAATTCATCTGAAGTGCAGTTTCATCCACAATCACAATGGACCCAAGGAAGAAAATGTGGTCCAATCTCCGGGAGAGAGCAAAGCCTGTGCTAAATCTGAAGATTGGAAAGAAGAAGAAGAAAACCCCTCTGAAATACCGGAGGAGCATGTCAGTACCAGACCTCAGGTTTAACCCCCGCGCCATGATGGCTTTACAGGATGAGTCCAGCACACCGAGTCAAGCCTCTGCCTTCTTTGATAACACAGACGGTTTAGGTGACATAGATGATACAGCTAGTGAAACCTCCAGTGTAGCATTTTCGGAGCGTTTCAGTGTAGCTGACGTCCCATACGTCTGCAGCCCAGCACCATCAGAAAGATCAGCTCCCGTCGACTTCCCAGTTTCAGCGGAAACCGATAAACGTCAAAGAGCCACTACATGGTACTTCGAGGATTCGGATTCGGTGACTGGAGTCACACCTTCATCTGCAGAACTACAGATGACAGCTGGTCATGCTGAGAGGAGGCCAACAGAGTCTTCAGATAAACTGGTGGCGGCCCTCGGCAGAGCTCGTGCTTTAGATGACATGTCTATTTCATCTGAGGAGAAAGCTTGGCATACTGAACATGAGCCATCCTCTCCTTTGTCTATGTTTGTTGTAGGATCAGCTGAGTATCTGGTAAGTCATCAGGAAGTATTATCATGTCCTACAAAAGTTTGGAGATACATATTTAAGTTTAATAAAAAAAAAAAAAATGGAAAATGTGTTATAGTTTCCATCATAATTTAAGCTTTGTTTTCCCACATACAGTAGTTCAACATTGTCGCAATTTGAAACATTGCCATTAGCTAATCACAAGAGGCTGTGATATGAAATATATATGTATTATTTAATTTTCCCCACCCTGAGCAAATGTGTGACTGCCGTCTGTGTGTGATGGTCTTACTAGCCAATTGAGTGAGCATACTTTCATTCTGCCCTATCAGAATTTCGCAAACGAACTATGCGGAATGCCCAGGTCCAAAGGAAAGTACAGGGATAAAGGCGTCTGATATACAATATATCAAATATACAAATTAATAGTAATATACAAACTAATATCAAAGAAAAACAGGACATCAGTAATATGGGAAAATTTTGGATCCAAAGTCACACACTAAATAAAAACAGTAAATTTTTTAGAGCTGTCGAAGAATTGTCTACAGATTATTGACCTGAAGCTTGCCTACAAAATTACGTAGCAAATCAAATCGCAATCACAATATCTGTCAGAAAAATCGCAATCAGATATTTTCCCCAAATCGCACAGCGCTACATCACAAAAAAATAATTTGCATGAATAATAAACTACATATAATGTCTAATAATATATGTCAAACTGGAAAAGTTAAGTTTGTAAACAAACTTTAAAATTTAGTATGAATTAGCATGTTGCTAGTATGTTTATAGTATGAATTAGCATGTTGCTAGTATGATTACATGTTTGTTATTATGTTTTTAGAATGGATTGTATGCTGTTAGTATATTTCTAGTATGTTAGTATGTCGTTAGTATGTTTCTAGTATGGATTGTTATATTGTTAGTATGTTTCTAGTATGAATTTGTATGTTTCTAGTATGAATTGGTATGTTGTTAATATGTTTCTAGTATGGATTGTTATGTTGTTAGTATGTTTCTAGTATGAATTTGTATGTTTCTAGTATGGATTGGTATGTTGTTAGTTTGTTTATGAATTAGTATGTTTCTAGTATAAATTGGTATGTTGTTAATATGTATCTAGTATGAATTGGTATGTTGTTAGTATGTTTCTAGTATTAATTTGTATGTTTCTAGTATGGATTGGTATGTTGTTACTTTGTTTATGAATTAGTATGTTTCTAGTATGAATTGGTATGTTGTTAGTTTGTCCAATGTAAAGTCAATGGCAGTTTTTTTTACAATGGAAGTCTATGGGACAGTTGCTAGGGTGCAGTAAGTGATTACTAGGGGGTGGCTCGTAAGTTGAAAGGTAATCAGTGATTGGCAGATTGGTAGTCTGAGTTAAATGAGCCCAACCTTAAGTCTATTTGACAGTTATGAGTACACAAAATTTGGTCCAATGTTAAGTCAATGGGACTTTTTCAAAATTTCCGGGTCAGTTTTCAGAAAACTGTAAGTTGGATCAGTTAGAAAAAAAAGAGCAACTTAATTCAGTATAGTTTGGAGTTAGTTTGGTGGTTGTAGTATGACCGGTCTAGGAGGAAATGCGTTCTTAATATAGTCTAAGAAGAAGACGGAAGAAAAAGAATAAGTTTATGTAGTATAACAGTATGTTGGTTTTTTTTAAGCCACCATAATTACAGTTTATAATATGTTATGTAGTTTGCCCCCCTGAATTATTATCACCCCTGTTTATTTTTTTCCCCAATTTTTGTTTAATGGAGGGAAGATTGTTTCAACACATTTCTAAGCATAATAGTTTTAAAAACCTATTTCTAATAACTGATTTATTTTATCTTTGCCATGCTGACAGTAAATAATATTTTACTTGATATTTCTCAAGACACTTCTATACAGCTTAAAGTGACATTTAAAGGCTTAACTAGGTTAAAAAGGTGAACTAGGCAGGTTAGGGTAATTAGGCAAGTTATTCTTTAACGATGGCTTGTCCTGTAGACTATCGGAAAAAAAATTAGCTTAAAGGGGCTAATAATTTTGTCCCAAACACAGTTTTTAAAAAATTTAAAACTGTTTTTATTCTAGTCGAAATAAAACAAATAAGACTTTTTTCAGACGAAAAAATATTATCAGACATACTGTGAAAATTTCCTTGCTCTTTTAAATACTATTTGGGAAATATTTAAAAAAGAATAAAAAATCAAAAGGGGGCTAATAATTCTGAATTCAACTGTATATATATATATATATATATATATATATATATATATATATATATATATATATATATATATATATATATATATATATATATATATATATATATACAGTATTCTACTATTTAACCTCAAAAAAGAAATGTGTATGTTGCCAAATCCTCAATTTGCCATCTGTTGTATTCAATGTACAATAGATAAATGACAAACATTACTCAGTTCTTAGCAGAGGCAAACTAATGCAGAACTGTCTCATCTGATACAGCTTAATCTCTCCCTCAGGACACTCCTAATGAAACCAGTGACTTTGATGATCTGTCAGAACATGAACGAAATGTGAGTATTTTTAAAAGAAAATGTACTTTTAGACATTATCATTCTACACAGTCAGTGTAGCTTTTTCTATTTGGAATAGTGCCAATGTTACTAATATTAATAAAAAATCATCCAGGCTTGAGCAAAGTGTCCTGCACGCTACTTTTCAGATCTCAGGAGGGTTAACAGAGAGTCAAAGTGCTGCAGGTCTACAGAAGCTCCAGTATCTTCTCACCATCAATCTAAAGGAAGGCAGAAACCTGGTTGTCAGAGACCGTTCAGGTACTGAACTCTTAAACACTGACTAATACAGATGACTAATGTTGGATGACACTGGCTGGTGTGGTTTAATTCATACAGTAGATGTTGCATTGCTGTATGCTTGCATCACTATGCTTACTTTAATAGTTATTATATCTATATTTAGGTCATTTTGACCTTGTAGTTTGGCCTAGAATTCATAAGCCACACCTTTATGTTGTGACTATTTTACAGAGAATTTAGTGGAATGATTCATGTGTTCTGATGGGTTTTCTGTTCTTAATGTCAAAATCTTCCATTCTGATTTATTCTGTCCTTTAATATGCATGGTCATTTTACTTTTAGATGCAGCTTAGTTGTATGCAGTTTTTGTTGTCAAGATGTCATGCATTTTGATTAGCTTTTGTCTTTAGTATTTTCCTTCTGATGATATTTTAGTTTTTAATTGTCTTGTTGACCACTTGTTAGAATGTTGCCTATTTGAGGATTAAATTAAATTCAATTAATCTTCTATAGCGCTTTTACAATGTAGATTGTGTCAAAAAAGCGTTACATAGAAGTTCAAGTAAATTGAAAACTGTGTCAGTCCAGTTTCCAGAGTTGAAGTTCAGTTTAGTTCAATTCAGTGTGGTTTAAGTTTCACTGCTGAAAGTCCAAACACTGAAGAACAAATCCATTAATGCACAACTCCACAAGGATGTGTGTGTGTGTGTGGCATTGAATCATATTGGTTTTTGCACATCTGATTGGTTAGGTAGAGTAATATTGGATGACATCTGTACTATTCTGACTTTGCATTTCCTTCTGAGCTGTACTGTAGATTTTTTGAGTTTTAGGCAAATATTATAAGCAAATAAGGAACGCGGAATCAGAAATGATTCATGGAAGTTAAAAGTTAGGTTAAAAGTTAAGCCTTAAAATACAGATACACACATATGAGCTGAAATTTACACTTCCATAAGATCAGTAGTTCAGTAGTTTTTTAATGTAAGGATGGGCCGTTTATATGGACACACCTTAATAAAATGAGAATGGTTGGTGATATTAACGTCCTGTTTGTGGCACATTAGTTTATGTGTGGGGGCAAACATTTCAAGATCGGTGGTGACCATAGTGGCCAATTTTAAGGTCATCTTGGAACCAACTTTTGTTTTTTTCAATAGGAAGAGGGTCATTTGACTCATCGAACTTATTTGGAATTTCACAAGTAAAAACAATGGTGTGCTTGGTTTATTCTTTCATGAGTTAATTACAAGTTTCTGACCACTTTTAAAATGTGCTCAATGTGCTGTCCATTGTGTTGGATTGTCATTGCAAACCTCTTTCACCCCCTCTTCACACACTGATAGCAACACTGCAGGAGAAATGCCAGCACAGACTTCCAGTATCCGTAGTTTCAGGTGCTGCACATCTTGTATCTTCTCACCATAATTTCATATCTAGATAAAATAGCCTAAGCTAGATTGAAATAATTTAAAGAATTACCAATATGGGATATAATAAAATCACATTAAATAAATAAACCAATATAAAACAAACAAAAGCTATAAGAATGTAGGTATATACAATACATAAATAAATAATTTTTAAGCCATGTATAACTTTTATTTTTAGATTTTTTTTTAGATATTTTAGATTTTTTTTGTCCATTTTTATATTTATTTGAGATATTTTATAAAACAATAAACACCAGAGGAGGTGTAAAATATTATTTATAAAGTATTTGGATATGGTGATATTAATCAAATCGTGCAAACAGAGCATTTTTTGGGTAAGTGAAAGCAGAGACTACCTTTTTTCTGTCATCCAGTCCTGCGCAGCACTGCTTTACAAATGCATTCGGGATAACTGCAAATACAAAATGTGTTCTATGTCCTTAAACAAATGTTTATGCTTTTATATGACGTGGTAAAATGTGTTGTGTAAAACCATGTTGTGCTGTGACGCAGTTTACTGTGAAAATGTGATTTTCTTTAAATCACTTGTGCCTTCTCTGTAGCCATATCTGTATATCTACATTCTTGTGTAAAGTATCTCAGATGAAACTGCTTTTGTTAAGAAGTTTCCTTATGGTAATTATTTGTAATCTACTGCTAAACTGCCAGTTACACATACACACACATACTAAATACATGAGTGTGTTATATATAAAAATGTATATAGTTATGTAACATATCTGGTATTTAAATGCGTCTTATATGAGCACTTCAGTTTAGATTTCATAGAGAAGCCTCTCTCTGATTTCACTATGTTCTGCATGACTTTTGAGTGCTCAGAGTGACACACCACTGCTGTTGATAGAACAAACTCATTTTACACAGCTTAGGAATTCATGAAAATTGTGTTGATGGTAACAACTATTTCAGTCGTTAATCCATGATTTGCTGCATTGCAGTGAAGTTCCTTGTTTTGTTACACTTTTCAGTCGTGACTTTGTTACAGAGATACAGTTTTTCACTTACCATTATTTACTTACCCTGCACTTGTTCCAAACCCATTTGAGTGTCTTTTTTCTGTTAAACACAAAGGAAGATATTCTGAGGGATGTTGGAAAAATCAGCCACAAACATGGGTATTTTCCAAACTGCACTTGTTTCTAAGCAATTTCACTAATTAAGTGTCGGGTGACTGACCTAAAACTTTTTAAAAACTTAAAAAAAAGATTTTCTAAAACTCTGGGTACAGTCAGTGTGGTTTTGAGGACACCACAACCAGTGTTTTCACCCCATTTGCTCCTTTCCAACAAGGCTGAGTTCACACCAAATGCGGAAGACGTGAATGAGACAAATTCTGCTCTTTCGTGGCAAACGTATCACATTTTCCCGCATTGTTTACACCGCTGGACAGTACCTTGTTTGGACTGACTTGTATGCAGTTTACTGGCAAAAACAATTCATTCCCCTTTGGGTGTGAACCCAACAAAAAAGGCTTTTATCGCCACCTGTTGGTTTAGCATGCTCTTAACGTGGCATATCGAATTTCCAATTTACATGACGAATTTTGTAAGTGGAAAAACTAAGCGTTTCACTGGCAAGAAAACAGTTAAACAGAGCATCTGCAGCGGGAGAATGAGAGATGAGCCTCCTCATTATTTAGGCCTACTTTCACTTTCGTTCTCGTGGATAGGGAAATTATTATATCAATTAACCTTATAAATAATTAATTTTGTTTGTTAAGTGCAAAGATTTGTTTCAAAACTATTTCTAAATTCAGTTCTAATTTTTAACAAACCAATTAATAAACAATAATAACGAAGTGTGATCAAAAGTTATATCCTAAAACACATGCTGTGCCCCATACGGTCGAAAAAACAGATGGGCAAATCTAAGCTTGTTTTTAATAAAACAAATATATATATATATATATATATTAGGGATGTAACGGTATTGTAAATACCGTCATACCGCAATAGCAATGTTTTACAATTCCCATCAGTCCAGGCGTGGCCATCATCCTTTGCTGTCTGTTGTCACTACAGATCCAGTTATGCGGAAATGGATTGTGCGGGGATGAAAAAGAGCTGGAAATGATCGAACCTAAGCAGGTGTTGTTGCCACGCGCGTACTGAATAGCGGTGTTGTCGCGCGCGTTCTGATCAGCTGTGTTGTCGCAGGCGTACTGTAAAGCGGGGAGGGGGGGTTGAGCGCGCATACTCAAGAGCGGTGTTGTCGCACGCCTAATGAAGGGCGGGGCGGAGGGTGTGTCGCGTCGCGGGGGCACTTTTGATCATTTTGGAAGGGCATTTTCTATCCAAGACAAAAAAGGGCATGTGCACTGCACAGGTTGAGCCCTATGTGTGCACGTGCCTGCAAGTTGGGGAATACGTCTAATAACAGTCATGGGGACTGCAGAATACAGCACACTGTTCAGATTGATGCAGACATTGACTTGTACCGCAAAGAGACCTCTATCTCACTTATGGCTTGTCCTCTCAAGTGGGGGAAAGACAATGCACAACGATACCCACTGCTGTCAACCTAGGCCAAGTCATATCTCTGTCCCAGAAACCTCAGTCCCAAATGAGAGGCTTTTTTTCTGTTGCAGGGGACATTGTAAATACCCAGAGATACCAGCTTTTACTAGATTATAGTTATATGATAATTTTCCTTAAAACCCATCTTTATCTAAGTGAGTGAGTGGGTGATTAAATGTTGAATGTGATGAGTTTTCAACAATACTAAATTGAAACTTTATTTTTTTACATGGTTTAATAATTTTTTGTTATTAAAATTGAAGTTCCTGTTTCAAAGCTTACAGATAGATGGCTAATTTGTATGTCATTGACACTTTTGGCACTTTTTTGGAGTATTTTCATTAGTTTTGTTTTTCCTGTAAATGATTCAATAAATACCGTACCGTGACATTCATACCGAGGTATTACCGTACCGTAAAATTTTGATACCGTTACATCCCTAATATATATATTAGGGGTGTCACGATTTCGATTTTTAATCGAAATCGATCGAAATTTATGCTCAATTTCGATTATCGAATCAAAAAATAGAATCGTCGATGCTGCCACGCCCCCATGTCACGTCAGCTTGGCTTGCCAAGTGGGAAAAAACAGGTTTGTTGAAGTGCTTGTTGAACTGCAGATACAGGAGACCCGTCGACAGAGCTTAAATCCTCTCCTCTTTCAATGAAGTCGCCGGTGTATAAGCATTTTGGATTTCCAGTGAGTTATGTTGACAACGTTTGTGTTGTCGACAAAAAACACAGTTTTGCAAGCTCTGCTATGTACGTATTACGTACGGTTCGTCCGATAGACAACACCGGCATCGCGATCCTCCGCCCGCCCCCGTTGCAAATCCGCTCGCGAAAAGTACACACTCAGGCCCTGTTTACACTGTCTTTGTTTTTAAATGGCATTTTAGAACGACAACGATTTGACATCCACAGTGGCGTGTAGCATTTCTGAGCAGCCCTCCTTACTCTCTAACTTACCTCTGAAAATGCACATCACGTGACCACACAGACGCACACACAGCCATATGAGCTTGAGACAGCGGGTCCAGGCAGTC